TTCGGGTTGAGAACCACTAATGTGGATGTTAAATAACATGGGTGACAGTATTGAGCCCTGTGATACCCCACAGGACAAAGGCTGCGGAGTCAAGCAGTTGACACCCAGCAACACCTTCTGGGAAAGATCCTCAAGGAAGGACCAGAGCCACTGCAGAACACTACCTCTGAGACCCATTTCCATGAGGCGGCCCAGAAGGATACCATCGTCAATGTTATCGAAGGCCGCTGAAAGGTCCAGCAGAACCAACAGGAACACAGTTTACCTTTTTTGCCAAGCAAGTTTCCTTTTCCTGCTGGTGGAGATGGTGTCAAGTGCAGTGTTGGAGATTCACCAAATTAATTCTAGGGATTTTCAGCAAACATACTTGGGCTGACTTAAGTGGTCTCATTAAGGACTTCATGGCCTCTGTGGAGGAGCATATAGGAATGCCTCCAAATGTATCTGATTTTTAAATCTGATTTTAAAAATCTGATTTTTGACCTGCCATGCAAGAGTGCTTGTTCAATGATAGAGTGTTAAAATCTGTTGTCATGGCTAAATCACTTTCGTTGAAGTTTTGATTTCATGGTAGTAGTTCCCTTCTGCCAAGGGCAAATGACTTTTACCATTGACTTGGAGACTAATGCGGTCTGAGGGATTCCATTATGCTCTGGAGCAGTTTTTTATGGCTAGAGCTAGCAATCTTGTTGAGTCTCTGATTACAGTACCAAATGGTGAAGTGGGACAGACTGTCACCATAGTTGCTTCCAAACCTTTTCAGGCACTGTGAGACCCATGTAGCTCTGCCATTCACTGCAACACTCTGGGTAACAAGATATCAGAACACTTTTGGAGTAGAATCTATGGTGGAGACAAACAGAAGAGTGTGAAAGGACATAGTTTGTGCTTCATCCTGTTGCTGTGAAGGAAAAGCACTAAGTGTGCTTTGCTACCAACATTGCATTCTCAATTATTCAACCACTAGGGCTTTTGTGACTAGTTGCTTGCTGTTATCTAACTAAACAAATAATATAATGCTATCCTCAGAGACCTGCTACAAGAACTCTGCTAGACATTTGGAGGACAAAGCTGCTTGTATATGTACTTATCTTGAAACAAAAATTCAAGTAAAGTTGAGTCTACACTTTGGAATTAATGCAGTTTGATACCACTTTCAATGCTAGGGCTCAGTACTATAGAATCCCGGAATTTGGTTAACTTGGAGGACTCAGTATTAAAATCACAATAATGGAAAAATAAACTAGGCTTCAGATAAAGCTTTCATCGTGAATAGATGATAGAGACAACGAAAAGGGGTTAGAATTAGCTAGGAAGGGATAGAAAAACAAAATTAATGTCAATAGTGGCCGAGCAGATAAACCAGATTTACTAATAAAAATTACAATGGCTCAGCAATTAAATCTCTCAGCATTGCTTCAAGGTGACATATTTAAAACGTGGATTTTAGACAGAGGGGCAGTGCCAAAGACAGATGAAAAGCACAGATATGAGTCTTGAATCTTAGACTCCTGCCTCAAATTGCTAGCATATGGAAATAAACCCATATGTCATGGGTTGCCTCTCCAGCCATTTAAGAATGACCAGTGATAGTAAGACCCACATCTCATTTTTTTTCTTGTTTGTTTACTTAATTGTTAACTCTTTGTCAGTTATTCTAGTTTTGAAGAATGGCTTTATGGGCTTAATTGCCATTATTCTTGAATCATTTGTTCTTTTAAGTACTGATTTAATTGTATTGACTTTTACTTTGAGGGGCTTCTTTTAAAATGAAAATCGTATGTAAACGTTTGAGAATGGATGAATATGAAAAACTTACATATTTGCAACGAGTATGGCTTTCTATGTATTGCTTCACTTTATGCATCACTTTATTTCTTTTCTGCAGCAATAGCTGCATGTTGCACTCGTTTTAATAGTTTCACTGGAAGCTAAAATGTGAACCTTGACTGTGTGTAAAACTAGAGGCATTGCTTGGCTGCAGAGGCCCTTACATAGCTGTAATTTTCTGTTTGGGATTCTGTGACATTTATACAACCTAGTAGGCTGCTTAATAGCATGTGTGTAATGGGGAAATGGTTCCAGTTTGACCTGTATGTGATGAGGGATGTTCAGGGTTGCAACTTGCCAATAAAAGTAGCAGTCTTGTTATAGTCTCTCTCCTGGAGCAATTTGTTACGGAGAAGTATGGCATAACCTTATCTCATGGTATGTCCCAGTGCAGCTCTACCCCGGTTCTAGCAATAGTGAGTAATGTGGAAAAGGTTGGGGAAACACATCTGTAATTTCATCTGTACTAATAACCAAAGATGTAGCAAGATAGACTGTTGCAGAAAAAAAGGTCTGTAAGATCCTTCTCTGTTGTTTTTATAGATGGTGACATTAAATTGCTGGATTCTGTAGATACAGATCAAGGGAGAAGATGCATGAAAAGTTGTTTACAATATAGCATCACCACATGTAGCTTTGTTCTTAGTTGCCTTGATCCAGATACTGTAAATCACATGAAAACAGGTTCCAGTCAGCAGATTTTAGTTGGTCCTTCATAACATATCGAGATGTAGAAGGGCTGATATGAGATGCTGGCTGTGCATTTTCCCCTTCTGTTCTGTGCAAAGTTAAATTTAATAATTGTCTGCCCTTGGAAAAAAAATCTATATTGCTTAATATAAATCTTGCAGAAAAAGAAATCACGGTGAAGATGTTGGGGATTGAAGCACTCCTCTAGGTCATAAGTAATTTACATACCAATTATTATTCAATTTTTTCCCATAGTTCTGAATGGTGGTAGAAAGTTTTCCCTCTCAGAATTGAAGACTGAGAAGGCAACTTTGTGCACATTCTTCCCTGCCTTTGTGGCTGGAATTGAGTCTGAAAGCCAAAATTAATGAAGTTCAGTTGCTTCACAGAACAATCATTTAAACAATTAGACTCTAAAAAGAAGTATCGACAAACTTTTACTGATGCTTCTTTTTGAATCCACTTGTTTAAGAAAATGGGAGAGGGTCGGACTTAATTGTCTTTTCCAAATATTATTTTATTGTGTTCTTTATATTAAAGTCATAAGTAATAATTGTGTATTTAATGTGTGATTGTGTACACAAAACTTAAACATTCCTACCTCTGTGTTCTTCTGTGTAAATGTGTGTTTCACTTTTTTTAAAAAAGTTACTGTTAAATATAAATCAGTGTATGGCTCCCAGTGGCACAGCTGGTTAAAGTACTAAGCTGCTGAATTTGCTGACCAAAAGGTTGATGTTCGACTCCGGGAAGCGGGGTGAGCTTCTGCTGTTACCCCCAGCTTCTACCAACCTAGTAGTTAGAAAACATGCAAATGTGAGTAGATCAATAGGTACTGCTTCGGCTGGAAGGTAATGGTGCTCCATGTAGTCATGCTGGCCACATGTCCTTGGAGGTGTCTACCGACAACTCTGGCTCTTCAGCTTAGAAATGGAGAAGAGAACCCCCTCCCTGTTGCACTCTAGGCAGGGAAAGCTCTCTGCCTTTAAATACCACACCGCTGAGTAAAATGCAAATAGTTTATTGAAGATATTTTAAAATAAGTAGCAGTAAAAACAATCAAAAAATAGGTAAATCCAGTTAGGTAGAAAGATAGATAGAAACAAATAATCCAGGAAATTAATCCACCAGAGTTCATGAAAGCAAATACTGAAACTTCCAAGGTAAAACCCCAAAACTTGAACATGAATCTAACAAGGCACTTAGCTTAGGAATCTATCCAAGGCAAGGCTTCCAGGGACCTAGGACAACGTCTTGACTCAATTCCAATGTTGCTTTGTCTTGCTGCAGATTCTGTACTTGGCACTTTTATCCCCTAATCTGCTCTATATCCCAAGTGGCCAGGAATTGATTTCTTTTCAGCCTTAACTCTGTTACCAATCTCTCTTGCAATCTGGCAGAGTACCTGAGAGCTTGTTTGTCTGTGTTGATTGAAAGCATTTCTCCTATCTTCTGGCTCATTAATTTCTGCAGCTGGCCCAGGTACCAAGCTTTTCTCAGGCTCAAAGTCTTGGGAATTTTCTGGTAGCAGTTCAGGCCTAGGGAACATATCATCATCCCCAAACCCTTCAGGAACATTCTCAACAGAAAAATCATTGAACAGGAATCCCATTGTCATTCTCTGCATCTAGAGCAACCTCTCATTAGAAACATCATTAGAAACATGAACCTCATTGTCACTCCCAACATCCAGAGTACCCTGATCATTAGACACAATCACGGGCTGAACTTCAACACTCCCCCCCCCTCCTTGAGTCGGGCATGACTAGACTTAATGTCAAGTGGAAACCTTTAACCTTCACCTTTGATAAAAAGAATGAAAATAAATAATAATAAAACTTTATTTATACCCTGCCACCATCTCCCCGAAGGGACTCGGGGCAGCTTACATGAGGCTAAACTTGTCAAATACAAATACAACAGTACATCAACAAAGCAAACAAGCAAATAAAACAATATAAATAATATGGCTAAACATATAAGCAATAACACACAAAAGATTTAAAATACTATGGCAGGGCCAGATGTAATAGATTAAATTTTTTTTAACCCTGGGCGTGTACAGAGTAGGGTATGTCTAGGAATGGTGGTTTTAGAGAATGATGTAGGGAGATCAATCAAAGGGATAGATAAAGTGCTTCAGAGGACATATAGAAGGAAATTGGTCAGATCGAGCATTATTTCCTTTATTCGGGGAAGGCACACTGAAACAGCCACATTTTCAAGCTTCTCCTAAAGACTGCCAAAGTGGGGGCTTTGTAGAGGCAAATCACTAAAATATAGTAAAGCATGATGTAAAAGCAAACGTAAAAGTAGTAGTCACAGCTATCGTTCAATTACTGATAATATTTTTCACAAAGAAGATTGAAACATGCTGATGAAATATCTGTTAATCCTTGGGTCCGACCATGTATGATAATAGTTTTCTTTAAGATATTTGTAATCTTCCTAATTAACATCTTATCTGTAAATGTTTTCAGTTCCAGGGTACCACATGGTGGCTTTGCCCATATAATGGGTGGTAGTGGACTGCAAAATTTTACAATTGCTGCTGTGCCATATACACCAAACCTTCTGCCATCATCCAGCACATGGTAAATAGCTTTCGTTGTGTGCTTAACATTTTATTGTTTTGTTCTTGGGGAAAGAAGGAAGGAGAAGTCCTAGAGGAGAAGCATGCCTTTGCATAACTTCATCAAGGAAATTCCCTTGGCTAGTATAATTAGCCAATGTAGAGCAAGTTGTTGTACTCACAAACTATAGGTATTTCAATTATTTCTTCCATAGTATTGAAAAAATAAATTATAAGTACTGCAGTATAATTCTTATGGGCAGCGATGTAGCATCACTAAAGGACACTTCATGTTAAATTACTATATTGCTTTTTACTTTAAGCCGAAAGGAATGTATTTTTCTAGAGAACATCTGAATACTAAAGGGGACTGCAATGCAGCAATGTGTTTCTTTTTCCCAGCGTACTTCATTTCAAAGAGTTTGGGTGCTGAATGCAGATTTGAGAGTATGATATCACAGTAATCAACTCACACAAAATAAACATTTGTACCCAGGTGTGTGTGTGTGTGTGTGTGTGTGTGTGTCTCTGTGTATCTTTTTAAAGCTTTCCATTTCTCCCCATTTTAGTATCAACATGCTGAAACTGCCTGAGTATCCAAACAAAGAGATCCTGAAGAACCGGCTTCTTGTGGCATTACACTGTGGCAGCTATGGCTATACAATGGCATAGTGAAGAAAGACCTTGCCTCTGGTAACTGATGTGCAATTCAGAGTGGCAGAAGTAATTTAGAAGCCTGTCAAGAGAAGGATGGTGATGGTTGGAAAACAGTCTTGCAATCCTGATGTCCACAATTTGCAAATGACCCCGCATTTCCTCTTCCTGTATGCCACCCGAAGTCTGAGACATTGTTTCTTTGAACAAATTAAAAGTATACTGTTCCTGTTTCATGGTATGAATTAAAAGTACATTGCTGTAAAATGATGATTCTGTATTGAATATGGCATGCACTTCTCTCCCTATAATTAGAGTCATTTCCCTTCCACCTGGAATATGACTCTAGTTCTTATTCAAGCGAAAGTGCAAATTTGTGCTTGCCTTTCCACTCAAAGGCCATTTACTGCTAATAAGCATTACAATTCAAGACACTGGATCATATCAAGGTTTTTCAGTACATGACCACAAGGAACTTTGAATGCTGTCTCCGAGTTGCTACATTCTTTGACTTATTTGTATGGGATTTGCATGTTCTATGGCCAGGCTTATAGCCATAGTTAATCAGACTATTAATTAACATTTATCAATTAACCCAGTTGCCTCTGTTGAAGAAAAGAGGCAAGTGGGAAACTGGTGTGAGGCTGCAGCCATGTATCTTCTTGCATGCAAAAAGTGCTGCATATTTCCTTATTTTTCTCTCCAGGGAGCATTGTACAGACAGTTCCAAATAAGTATACAAAATGCCATATTTGATGTATTACCCCTCCCCCTCATTTTAACTAACAGGAAAAAGTTACAAAGAATTTTTAAAGGTTTTATAGTATTTTAATACCTACCTAAACATTTTAAAAGGTTTATTCCTTAGTTTGTTACAAAATACATTTTTTTTGAGGAGGGGGAAATAAGATAATTTATACTATACATTCCAAATGTGCGCCATATTTAAACCACTGAAGTATTTGTGACTTTGCATTCCTTCAAAGTGTACATATATTTTAGAGGAATAAATCATTTTATTTGGGATATATACTTTCTCATGCCTGAGCTGTATGAAAAGTGTGCATTAAAATTAAATATTTTATTGTAACTTAAGTATTGACTAGATGTGTTTTCTATGTTTGTTCTAATGCTTTATCAGCATACAAGAGAGAACAGGGTTTTGACAGGATAACCTGCCAAGGCAGCATGAAACTGCAAAAGCTATCGGGAATTTATTTATGTATTTCATTTATATATTGCTTTTCTCAACTCCTGGGGGGTGGGGGGTGGGGGGGGGCGGACTCAAAGTGGTTCACAACAAGGTAAATGGCAAAATTCAATGCCTCATAGAGGAATCTATCTGAATCCATAGGTCTTTTGAGATGGAGTATCTTAATGGGTCCCCCACCCTAGCAAATCTAAACCTGACCATGTAATGATCTCTTCATGACAATGGTGCCATAGAGAACTCCTAAATTCCTAGATCACTATCATTTATTTATTTATTTATTTACTTCGCTTATATACCACAATTCTCAGCCCTTTAGGGCGACTCACTGCGGTGTACAACATAGAAAAAACAGGTGCAAAATACAAAAATAGTGTAAAATAATCCACAATACATCATTATCAAAAAACATCTCATCAAAACATCCAAATTCTACAAAGCCATTCCATGTCGTGGTCAAATTACCAATCATTGCACTTCTTGTTCAAATGCCTTCTTAAACAGCCAGGTCTTTAACTTCCTGCGGAATATCAACAGGGAGGGAGCTAACCTGATGTCCATGGGAAGGATGTTCCACAGCCGAGGAGCCACCACTGAGAAGGCCCTATCTCTTGTCCCCGCCAGCTGTGCCTGTGACGCAGGCGGGATCGAGAGCAGGGCCTCCCCGGACAATCTCAAAGTCCTCGTGGGCTCATAGGCCGAGAGGCGGTCAGTTAGGTATCTTGGGCCGGAACCATTTAGGGCTTTATAGGCCAATGCCAGCACCTTGAATTGGGCCCGGTAGCAGATTGGCAGCCAGTGGAGTTGGTACAGCAGGGGGGTTGTATGCTCCCTGCGACCCGCTCCTGTTAGTATCATGGCACGTTGGACCAGTTGGAGCTTCCGGGCCGTCTTCAAAGGCAACCCCACGTAGAGAGCGTTGCAGTAGTCTAAACGGGATGTAACCAGAGCGTGGACTACCGTGGCCAAGTCAGACTTCCCGAGGTACGGGCGCAGCTGACGCACGAGCCTAAGCTGTGCAAATGCTCCCCTGGTCACCGCCGAGACCTGGGGCTCCAGGCTCAGCGATGAATCCAGGATCACACCCAAGCTGCGAACCTGCACCTTCAAGGGGAGTGCGACTCCGTCCAGCACAGGCTGTAACCCTATACCCTGTTCGGCCTTGCGACTGACCAGGAGTACCTCTGTCTTGTCTGGATTCAGTTTCAATTTGTTCGCCCTCATCCAGATTGTTACAGCGGCCAGGCACCGGTTTAGGACCTCGACAGCCTCCTTAGTAGCAGGTGGAAAGGAGTGACAGAGTTGGACATCATCTGC